TAGTAATAGAGGGGGTATCAGTGGGGGAGAAAGGAGAAACATCTGTAACAAAAATAAATTAATTAAATTTTTAAAAAATTCAGAATTCTAAAAAAAAAAAAGATAGTAATAGAAAAATTCTTCATGTTTTAGGAATCATAATAAATGTAATTGGAATAAACTTGCCTATAAAAGGCAGAGATTGCCAAGTAAAAATAAAATCCAGGTTTATTTGGATTACAAGAGACAAAGCTAAAATATAAACATGTAGAAAAACAGAAGACAAAATTATTTCAAATACATACTACTAAATACTAACAAAGCAGAGGCAGCTATATTGCTATCACAGAAAATAGATTTTAATGCAACAAGCATTAGCAGTAAGATGTCATTCACTACATGAGAAAGAGTTCAACTCACTAATGTAAGAATTCCAGACTTTATTTACCTAACAAGATAGCCTCAAAATGTATAAAGCAAAAATTGTAAAAGCAAGGAAAATGGAAAAATCCATTTCAGTGAGAGAATTCAAAACACTTCTCTCAATTACTGATAGAGTAGGCAGATAAAAGTTAGTAAACATATGGAAGATTTGAACACAATTAACAAACTTGATTAAATAGAAAATAGCAAATATTCTTCTAAGCACACGTTACATTTAAAATTTGGGCTATAGCCCTCGCTGGATTTGCTCAGTGGTTAGAGTGTCGGCCTGCAGACCAGAGAGCCCTGGGTTCGGTTCCCACTAAGGGCATGTACCTCAGTTGGGGTTTGTCCCCCACCCTGATTGGGGTCGTGTGGGTGGCAGCCACTTGATGTGTCTCTCTCATGTTGATGTTTCTCTTTCTCTTCCTCCCTCTCTCCTTCCTGCTCTATCTGAAGACAAATGCAAAAATGTCCTTAGGTGAGGATTAAAAGAAAAAAGGGGGGGGGGGGGGCTGTACCTAGCCATTAAGTCAGTCTCATAGAATTTCCAAAACAGGTAGTGATAAAATTTTACATGTGTATTATTTTCCTAAGACTGCTGTGACATTACCATAAAATCTGAGGCTTGAAACAACACTATTCTCTCACAGTTCTGGAGGCCAGACATTCAAAATCAGTTTCTAGGCCCAAGTCAAGAAGTTGGCAGGGCCGGCATCCTCGAGGATGAGGATCTGTGCCTTGCCTCTCCCAGCTCCTGGTGGCCGATGGCACTCCTTAGCTTGCGGCTGCATCATTCTGGTGTCTGCCTCCGTGCTCACGATGCCTTATCCTCTTCTCTGCTTGTCTCTTATTACGGATACCTGTGATTGCCTCATTGAGATAAGTAAGAAAAGCTCATCTCAAGATCTCTAAATTAATCACATGTTCAAACAGCCTTTTAAAAATATAAGGTAACATTTACAAAGTACAGGGATTAGGACCTATCTCTGGGGGCCATTATTCAGCCTTCTCCAACATTTATATGTACATTTACTTAATGACAAGCTGGATTCTGAGCACTTTAAAAATATTAATTTCTGCTCAGAACAATCTCTGAGATGGACATTAGTATTCCCATTCTTCAGGTGGCAAAAACTGAGGCAAAGAAAGATTATAACATGCCCAAGGTATATCTCTATCATACACATTCTCTATCCAGAATGCAATTGTTTAGAAATCAGTAACAGATTTTTCAAAACTTTTATTTTGAAATAACTTAAGATTTATGGAACATTTGCAAAAACTGGACAAAGAAATTCTATATACCCTTCACCTAGATGCTCCAAATGTTAATATTTTACCACATTTTGCTTTATCGTTTTCTGTATATATGTATTTTTTGTTTGAGATTAAGTTGCACATAGAATGTCCCATTACCCCCTAAATACCCTACTGTGCATTTCCTAAAAATTGAGGACTTTCAAACTCCAAAAATTAACATTGATACAATGCTATTATCTAATCTACCAACCTTACTCAATTTCAAAAAATGTCCTTTATAGCAAAAAAAAAAAAATTTTTTTTTTCCTCAACCAGGATCCAATCCAAGATTATGCATTACATTTACTTTTCAGATTTCTTTATTCTTTAGTTTGAAATGTTTGACAAGTATAGACTGGCTATTTTGTAGAATATCCCTCAGTTTAGGTTTCTCTGATATTTCTTCTTGATTAGGTTCAGGTTATACATTTGTGGCAGGAATACCACATAAATGACATATCTTCATCATATCAGAATGCACACAATGTAAACTTCTTATGAATGTTGACACCAATACAAATTTTGTTTAAAAGAAAATACTTTTATAAAGACTTAAATTTGTGCTTTTAAAGAACATTTCTAAATAATTCATAGGTCAAGGAAATCATAATGAAAAGTTTTAATTAGCCCTGAAAAAGAATGTGTGTCTATGCACGTTTACATGCACGCGCGCGCACACACACACACACACACACAGTTGTGGGATATAGCAAAAGATAATCAAATACGCTTAGAGTCTTACATGTTAATGTAAAAATAGAAAAAAATACTTAACATGAATTCATTACAGGCCCAATTTATGAATAAGAAAAATAACAGAATAAACCTCCAGAAAGCAGAACACAAAAAGAAAAGATCAGAGAGGATCGATAAAGCAAAAAGTTGGCTCTTAAGAAAAACTATAGACAAACTTCTGACAAAATGATAAGGAAAAGAAAGTGAGAAGACGCGAACAATATTAGAAAAGGAAATATACATGTCCAGCAGAGGTTTAAAAACTAAGAAAATTCCTTGAGTTACTTTATGCTAGTAATAAATTTGTAAAGAAATGAGTCAATGTTTAGGAAAAAGTTTTTTTTAATTGACTCAAAAAACAAACCCTAAGTGATCTTATTACCATTAAAACTATCAGTAGTTAAGTCTTCCCATGAATAAATCCTAGGGCCAGATGGTTTTTATAAACTTTCAAGGAAAAGATTGTTCTAATCTTTTACAGATTTTTCCAGAGAATAGTGAAATAGGCAACACTTCCCAGCTCATTTAATGATGTTTTAATCTTTTTTCTAATTTGTTTTACAGATGTTTCTTTTCCCCGCATTGGCACCCTCCTCCCCCTGCCATCCCCAGCGTTGTTGTCTATGTCCATTGAAGTTATAATCTTGATATGAAAATACAATTTCCAAAATACAGTTGTAAAAATTCCGAATAAAATACCAGCAAACTGTATTCAGCAGCGTGTAAAGCTTGTGAAACATGACCAAAAACGTAGAGGCGATTTAATACTAGAAAATCGTAACTAAATTCAAGCGAGATCTCTGACATCTTCAGGAAAGACATCACCTGATACATACAGAATGTAAGTACTCCTAGCTGTTCTCTCCTTGGGCTCTTTGCGCAGGCTGGTCTGCCTGAAACATCCCCCCTCAGAACCCGAAAGGCTCGCTCAGGACTGTTTGAAGGCCGCCTCTCACCGAGGCCTGCTCTGCGTACCTTGTTTATAATCACAAGCCCCCCACGCAACACACACTGTTCCCTCCTCCTGACTCTGCTTCATTTCTTCCCCTTATTATTCCTTTTCTTACCTGTTTTCCTCCTTGGCTCCCTGCCCTCCTCCCAGCTCAAATGTAAGCAGCATCCGGGCAAGAATTTTTGTCTGCCGTGTTCACTGCAGCGTCTCCAGCACCCAGAGGACGTGGCACCTGGTGGGCACTCCATTCATACACACAGTGGTATGTCTGGAACCTTTTGTAACAAGGAAGACAATCTTGCTTCCATCCTCTCAGGGTCACCTTTTGTAGGACCCAGTCTGGTATTTGGCAATGACACACATACAAGGAGAGCGGACAAAGTTGTCATGCACCGTTCGTCACATTAAAATGTTTCGTCTGATGGTGTGTTCCTGTTAGGCACGTGTTCCATTTCTAGATGCCTTCATACAAATCTCAACAGAAAGACCTACATTTCCACAGGAATTGAATGTCTGTTCATATATATGTCTTGCATCATGAGTGACACAAACATGCCAATCTAGAAACTTTAGAATGTCACAAAGTAGTGAGTCTCTAAACATTTTTAAAATCCACTTGGTTCCCCATACATTTAATAAAAAAGCTTCGATACTTTGTTTTGACACTGGAGCAGAATCCAGGACCACCTAAATCTCAGGTAGATTTTTATGTCAACAGACCAAGGAAATTTTAGTACGTAAGCTCATTTCATGCTAAGGTATCATCACAGTAAATCTTTTCTTCCACACTGAAATGGCACCATATGCACTGTATCGGGACTGATGTTCACACCGTAGACAGTTCAGTTCTGTTGTATTTCAGTGCAATAAATATCAAATGAGAAATCAGAACTCACCTCTTTAGGGCAGGAGCCCATTGGAGGGAAAGGAGACCAACATCACCGTTGGCCTTTATTTATTTATTCCCAGGGTACATGGGACCCCCACGAGGACGAGTCAGCAGGCACACGCTGTTGTGTGTACGGGATCATCCCCCCACGTTCCCCTCATGCTGTTCCACTGAAAGGGCAGTGAGGGAGCAAGACATGAACATCTGCTTTCTACGTGGTGAGGGGAGCTGATTCCACATAAGTCATCAATACTGTCTTCTACTCTATGCTCTTTGGGTTTAGACCTTCTCTAGCATATATCAGACAATCAAGTAGATAGTTAAGCCTCAAAATTATGCTTCACTTTGCCGAAGGGGTCGAGAACATTAGTTTCTCTTTTAGTACAATTTTTCGTTCATGTGCCCAGAAACAGAGATTTTCATTTCACCATCTTCAACCTTGAGTGTCAAATACGCAAGGATATTTGCTAAGTTGAAGCAAAGCCAGAGCTCAGACGTTTTGAGGTTACTAAGGGATTTCCTAGCCAGAATATAACTATTTTCTAACTAGAATAAAAGGAAAAGTAGTTTGTATACTTGTAAACCAATCTCTCTCCTCTCTGCCAACTTTCAACCAATAACTACCATCACAGCCATCAACCAACCAATCAGTGTGTGTAAGCAAATGCAATATTGCCCAGGTCATTGTGGTGTCAACAAAATGAGAGAGAGAAAAAGGCATACATAAAGCTAAATTTATTCGATTTAAATGAGTACCCCTTATTCGCAGATTTTATTATTCTTGCTTTTTTATGCTAAAATGTCTTTTATATAATGCTAGTCATTTGGTTTTCTGTTTTTATGTCCTTAGCTGACAAAATTAAAAGCTAGAAACACTTAAAATACCCCAATTAAAAAATTCTTTTGCTAATTTAATGGTGCTTAAAACTCACGGCCTCAGAACCACAGCCTAGGGAAAGATCTACCTTTCAGATTACATGTCTCACAATACTGAATTATTGCTTAGCAATTTCCCCAGACAAGTTATATAGCAGGATAAAAGTAAACCTTAATTTATATTAAGCCAGTATAGAACGGTCTTGATTTCAAGCAACAAAGAAATGTATGTTCAATCAACACCATGGCTATATCATCTTTCAGTAAAACTAACGGTATCAGTATCTATAGGGTACCAGTTTACAGGTGTAAAGCCATTACTGCTCTAGGAATAGCCCCGTGTGACCTGTGTAAGCAGTATTACTGCAGTGCGGAAACCAAGGCAGCTGGGGTCCAAGCAGACCACTGTCCTGGGTCAGGGCTTTAGCGCCACCACAGGTAGCTGCCAGGCTCAGCACATTTTAGCCTGTTTACCTTTATAAATCACACCATCCACCGTTCAGTAGTTACATACATTTAAACTGAGAAGAACTATATGTTAAAGGAAAGCATACTTTTCTGGGCTTCATGTGTAAGAAAAAACTCCACATTTCATGAATTATTTTTATGTCATTAGCTACTTTAAAAAAGAATAGTTCCATATAAACATACAAACTAGGCCGGGCCTTTAGAAAAGCTTACGAAGAACCATGCAAATTGCAGGATGTCCTCCCAGAGTGAATTCATGAACGTCCAGTCCCTCAAATGGTTAAAAACAGAAATGAGTAGCAGGCCATGACTTTTTAAGGCATGTTTCAGAGAAAATACAAGAATCCCTGGCACTCCGAGCCAGATGAGCCGTTGGGCACTGTGCCTGGCTCTCCCATTCTGTGACTGGCCCATCCCTGCTCCTTCCTACTCAGTTGTTCTTGTTAATGTTAGTCCTATAGCAATTGATATGAGCATTTATATTAAACTACAAAATAACTGCTGGTAGCATCCAGAATATATGTCAGGAACTCCTGCTTTCTTCCTGATTATGACCACATTCAGCCTTATTAATAACTATTGCGATGACAAGTGAAGATGTGGGAGCTGGGGGTTGATCCGCCGTGAGCGCGCAGAGGCTGGGAACCCTGGCCAAGGCTCCAGGCGTCATCGGTGCTTAATTCTTCTTGGCTTTCTTCAGATAGCGAGCCCGCATGGACTTGCCAAAATTCAGGCACATCTTAAGGTATAACCAAGAAGGCAGGAGTGAGATGACTGCCCCCTGGGAAGAGCAACGGGGAGATACATCATTACAACCCACAATTTGAGCTAAATGAAAACAGGATCTTACATTTTACTATAATGTTGGTTTTTTGATTTTTTGTTTTAACTTATAGGTACATTTTAGAGTTCTTGGGTATTATAAAACATAGATGACTCATTAGTAAGTCTAGACAATATACATATGTTAATATATCACATACTATTTTGTGACTCAATGGGACAAAACACCCAAACCAAGTGCTGATTTGGGACGTAGAAATCTACCTACCATAAGAGAATGGATCGGGTATCCATTGGTTCGGGATCTCAACCCCACTGTTTTCATCGCCGCCTTCACATATGTGTCTGAAGAAGGTATGTGCAGAGTTGCCTTCCGGACTTGAGCCATTTTCGTAGCTACGAAGAACGGCAGGACACTCTAGAAAGGCAAGAGCCCGCCCCCAGAAAAAACAGGCCATTGATTAGGAAGGCCCCAGACGCAGAACTCGGCGCTGCCTGACTGCTCTAGTGGCAGAAACATCCCGGCGAAATGTCGTGTGTAGCTTGAGAGAGAGAGAGGAGAGAAGCAGCTTGGCAGAACATATGACAGCACAAAGAAAACTGGAACAAATCAATCTCAATAAAACAATTTGAGACGAGAGTATTAAAAATAAGTGGAAGTGTACCTTTTTGAAGGAGGAAGGCATTGCAGAACTCTAGAGAACAGAGACTTCGCCTGAACCTTTACAAAACCACCACGTAAGAGATTTTTGACATTTTTTTTCCTCCTAAAGAGCTAATATTACCTCTCCCATCGTTTACAGTTAATGAAGCTTGTGCTGTGGGCTTGGGTCCCTCTACAATAACCATGTCACATCCTCAGCTCTGGGCCACCACCACTTTTCTTCCTTGGCTTCTCACCACTCTGATTCTGAGCTGTTGTGCTTTTCTAACTTATTGGGGTAACACTGATGAATAACATTATATAAATCTCAGGTATACAACTGCTTCTGAGTTTTATAGACTTTATTAATAAGATAGGGCCACCTCCCCTTCCTTCTTTTTCTTTGTGCGTGTGTGGGGGATACTGTAACAACACAGAAGCAGCGTGAGCAGCTCAAAGACTGGAGGGGAGGACGAATCAGAATGCCATCTTTCAGAGGGAATGAGTGTCACGCTCTTGAGGCGTATGCTTGCGACATCTCAGATGTGCTTAAAAAAAGAGGTGAAGGAGACCCTGCTACCAAGAGTCCTGAGTGCTGATACAAGAGGTTCCTTCTGTCATTTGAAATGACCTGGGTATGGCTGTTCACCAAACAGTGAATGGACTCTGTTTATCTCACATGTTGAAAGGAAAGGGGAGCAATTACAACGATACTTCTATTAAAGAGGAGGATCTGTTGTGACACGTGGTCACAATGAACGCCATTACTAGGGATAGAAAGGAAATTGAGATGCATGCCTCACTACGGAGTTCCTTCCTGTGGAGAGCTGGAAAGCGCATTCCCACGTCTCTAGTTTTCTGTTTATTTGTTTAGTGTTTTTCCCACTCCCAAGAATGGGTTAAGGAGTGCAACCCACCCTCCTAACGGGTGAGCTAAGACTTCGGCCTGCCTGTTAAGAACCCAGCACCCGAGGACCTAACCACTGTCTCTCTCTTTCTCCCTCTCTCAGTCCAACAGCCACAAACCCACACTAAGTGAATTAACATCCCCAAAGCACCTCAACACCTGGGCCAACTTTGATTAGGTGACTTGGTTTTAGAGAATTTGTTTATTGCAATTATCCCTATCCACTTATCCCTCACTTAATGAGCAAAAATGTTTTGTCCAAAGGTCTTTAATTTTAAAATCATGTTGCTGTGAGGAGACAATATATGAGAGCAGAGATCAAAGAGAGATCTCAGCATGTGAAATGAAGTGAAATTTCATTATGAAATGCAGAGCTCAGTGAGGCCTTCACAATGGGTAAGAAGAGTTTGTTCACCAAGCTGAGGATCAAACAAAGCAAAACAGAGTATATACATGTACTCTGTCTCCAGTAATGAAGAACGTAAGCAAACCGTATCACATCACTATGCCTCGGGCTTCCTGGTTACAAAAAAAGTGAAGATTTAAAAACTCTTCGCATATACAGATCAGAAGCTTGTAAAGTTTTGAGCTTGTCAAGACGAAGATGGTCTGATAACTCCCAATTACTTAGTTATGTTATAATCCCCCCTGTGCATATATCTGTATCTGGCATAAATTGGACTACTTTGATCTTATAGAAGAATTAAGTTGCACTGCCTATCTGAACCACTTGATGGCGCCACAAGTTAGCCCCTCATACAGCTAAACCTTAAAGAAACTACAGAGCACCTCCTGGCTCTGGAGGTGGAGATGAGATGCAAACCCAGGAATTCCAAGTCACATTTTCTTCCAACTAAGAGATGTAAATTCCGTTCTGGAAAGGGTATTCATTTATTTCCACAATGGTTTAAAATCAAGGTGGTTAACGCGGCCTAGTAGAGGATGGAAGGGATTTGGAGATGAAATAACTTTTGAGCTGAGTGGAGGAGTTTGCCAGGTAAACACACAAGGGAAGAACATTTTGGGTACTGGGCACAGCAAGAGGAAAGGAAAGCATGATGTCCTCAGGGAACTGTAAGTAGTCGGTGTGGTTCACACATCAGGAAGGTGTGAGGCAGGAGAAAGGCTAAGCAGTACAGAAACTAAGTCCAATCACTGGACAATACTGACTGCCAGAACGTAAGCTCTACGAACACTTGGTCTTATTGGCCACTATATCGCCAGCGCTTAGAAAAGTACCTAAAACGTAGCCAAAGCACAGAGAAGAGCTACTACGTGAATTAGCAACAGAACCCTTCGCCTGGGCAGCACCGAAGAGCCGCGCTGGGGCCCCTCTCCGTGGCTGCAGTCCAGAAAACTGTTTATACCACAAAGTGGACAATGCAACATGGGAGTCTAAACCAAAAGTCTAGATATTCCAGAGCTTGAGCAAGATCACCCTTTTACCAGGGGTGGGACACCATTTTTCTGCCAAGGGCCATATGGATGTTTATAACATCATTCTCAAGCCACACAAAATTATCAACGTAAACATTAGCCTGCTATATTTGGCCAGACTAATTTGGTGAGCCCTGTGATGGTAGCTGGTATTGATTTCAAGGGCCTTAGACAGCTTGTGGGCCGGACGTCCCCCACCCCTGAGAAGGCAAACTTAGACCTCCAGCTACTTACCCAGAATTTAAAAAGGAACATTTCAAATTATGTAAAAGTAAATACCTTATATGTCAAAATGTCATCTAAGTATATCCTTAAACAAACAAAAACCCAGTAAGCAAGAGTTAACCCATCTTTCCTGCTCATTCAGGGAAACATTACAGGGACCAGGAAAAGAAGATGCTTATACTTTCATAGGAAGTGTTTTGGGCAGAGCAAACATTAAAAGTTGCTTAAGCTCAACAATATGCCATTATAAATACTGCCAGCTTGACAGCCACAGAGGTGGGCAAGTGCCCTGGTCTGCAGACTCAGAACCCCAACTGAAAAGAATTAACTGAGTCTCAAAGCAAAGTTGATGTTTGGCCCTTGCTTGGCCTATTTATAAAAAAATCCCTGGAGACAACTTGGTATCGTTTTTCCCACCCACTGGAGTAGCTACATAATAAAGCCAAAGGTCTCTATAAAATTAAGTCAAAACAGACCAAAGGCCTAAATGGTAGGAGCTAAAACTATAATATTCTTGAAAGAAAACATAAGTATAAGGCTTCATGACATTAGATGTGCAGTATTTCTCGGATATGTCACCAAAAACACAAGCAACAAATGAAAAAAAAATAGATAAACTGGAACACATCAAAATGAAAAACTGTTGTGAATCAAAGGACACTATCCATAGAGTGAAAAGACAACCCACAGAGTGGGAGAAAATATTTGCAAACTATGTATCTAATAAAGGGTTTATCTCCAGAATATATAAAAAAAACTCCTACAATTCAACAATAAAAAGCAAACAACCCAACTGAAAAATAGGCAAAGGACTTGAGTAGACATTTCTGGTCAGGAAGCACTTGGAAAAGTGCTCAACATCACTCATCATTAAAGAGATGTACATCAAAACCACAGTGAGGTACTGCTTCACACCCATTAGCATGGCTTTTTTTTTTTTTTTTTTTTTAATAGAAAAACAGAAAGCAAGTATTGGTGGGGATGTGGGGAAACTGGAACCCTTGTGCACTGTGGTGGGAATGGAAAACAGGGCAGCTACTATGGAAAACAGTAAGGCAATTCCCTTTCTTCCCCTCAAAAGTAGAATTACCATAAGATCCAGTAGTTCCACCTCTGGGTGCACATATGAAAGAACTAAAAGCAGGGTCCTGAAAAGACATATGCACACCCATGCTCACAGCAGCCAAGAGGTGGAGGCAACCCCGCTGTCCATCCACAGATAGTGGATAAACACAACTGGCGTATACATGCAATGGAGTATTACTCAGCTTTAAAAAGAAAGGAAGCCTGGCTGGTGTGGCTCAGTGGACTGTCATCCCAAGGACTGAGAGGTCCTGGTTCGATTCCTGGTCAGGGCACACGCCTGGGTTGCGGGCTCAGTCCCCGGTAAGGGGCCAGGCAGGATGCAGCCAATGTTTCTCTCTCACATCGATGTTTCTATCTCTCTGTGTCTAAAAAAAATCAATAAAAACATATTTAAGCCCTGGCCGGTTTGGCTCAGCAGCTGGAGCATCAGCCTGAGGACCAGAGTCCAGGGTTTGGTTCCCGCTAGGGGCACGTACCAAAAAAACATATTTAAAAATAAATAAATAAAAAGGAAGGAAATTCTGGCATGTGCTAAAACATGAATGAACCTTGAAGGCTATGCTAAGTGAAAAAAAGCCAGTCCCCAAAGGACAAATACTGTGTAATTCTACTGATATGAAGTACTTAGCACAGTGAAACGCAGAGAGACAGGAGGTATTATGGTGGTTGTCAGGGGCTGGGGGAGGAGGGAATGAAGAGTTAGTGTTTAATGGGTACAGAGGTTCAGTTTTGGAAGATGAAAAAAATTCTAGAGATGGATCGTGGTGATAGTTACACAACAATGAATGTATGTAATGCCACTGAACTGACTACTTAAACGTTTAAATGGTGTTTTTCTTTATGTGTGTATACATATATATATATATATGTATAAACTGTTTTTCTTTATTGATTTTAGAGAGAAATAGAAACACTGATGAGAGAGAACATCGATTGGCCACTTCCTGCATGCCCCACACTGGGGATTGAGCCCACAACCTGGGCATGTGCCCTGACCGGGAACTGAACCGGTAACCACTTGGTATATATGGGTCGACGCTCAACCACTGAGCCACACCAGCCAAGCTGTTATGTATATTTCACCACAATTTTTAAACTATTAAAAATCACTACCATATCTATATCATCCTGGTGTTTGCCGTCCCCCTTGCTGTAGTAAAAGTCAGTTTTGTTCAGCTCTCTACCCTCTCTTCTGACTCTTACACAGTGGCTTTGGCATGTCACGGCACACTTCATACACCTGGCAGCTAAGGCATACTAATAGTCTAATTCTCTCAAAATAAAACCTGAGAATTTACAATAATTACGCGTCAACTGTATATAGTACATTCAGTTCTACTCTAGGTATCCTGACTTAAAAATTCTAAGGAATGATTTTTTAAAAAATCTAGACTTAAAGTGCATACAGAAAAAAGAAACCATGTCTTTAATAGTGGGCTAATATCACATTCACTTACTTAAGAATGTGATTTTCTTTCGTTACCAAGACGGCAACAGTTGCTGTGGAAACCACACAAAAACAGGGATACTTAACTGAAACAAACTCTACTCACCTGCACAAAGATGCCCTTGCTCTTATATTCCTCATGGATGCACTGAGAGAAGAAATCTACAAAAGTCTGGGAGGAGGGGGTGGGAGTAAGAAGAAAACACACACATCACATCAATATGTCTGATTTGTAGTCATGGAAACTAAATAACAAACTAACCATTTAACTCTACAGCTCCTAATCATTCTTTTTATTTCAAATGCAGAAGAGACCTTAAAAAACCATTGCATGCCCTCGTCATTTTTATCTGCCACTAAATTAAGTATTCTCTTATCAAACATATTATCCAGATCAAATTTTGATTGAACTGAAAAAGGTTCTTTTTTTTTTTAGAAAATTACTCTCCAAGAAGAAATGTTTGATTATACAACAAAAGATGTGCTCCTCCCTACTTGCCATTCAAACAGAAACACAATATAAATTCTGTGCAACCCTGTTCTGTGGGGATTTTGTCAATAAAGAGAAGAAAGAGTAAGCATCCTCTTGGCCCCGTGAGATCCAAGAAGTGTACAAATGAACCCGACAGCTCATCTTCTTCTGATAGCACAACTTTAAATCCACTTGTGAAATATAATGTACGGGACCATTTTTCAAACGTGGGCTTGACCTCAGGCTTGAAATGCAACGTATCAATAATGACTCTACTAGGGTCCCAATAATTAGTCATGTGTCCATGGAATACGCCATGAGCGGTTGGAGTTCACCTGCCACTTCGAGAAGCCTGGTGCTCGCCATAAACATGCCCACTGTGTTCCAGAGCCATAGAAAGCAAGAAGAATGCAGGGGTGGAGGGTGGTGCCAAGTTTTCCGAAAAATAGTAGTCACTGTTTACAATTTTCCAGTGGACAAAAAGCCAAGTGAAAAAGAAGGCAGGCATGTCGCTCTTTTCCTTCTGACCTAATGCATGTTCTTATTAGATATTATATTTTGCTCATTTCTCCCCCAGAGTTTATTTAATTTCAGCACCTCAGCGGTCATTTCCATTTCAGAGATGTACCCTATGCCTCAACAATGTATATGCAGATGATGCTATTGACCTGCAGGCAGTAAGAAATACACTCTAAATTATTTTCCTAGTAGAAATGTGAGGAGGTGAATGGTGATATATAAAATTACAACATCTTACAGAGTTCTGGGAAATTCTTGTCTCACTCCAGAAGTGATGATAAATATCTGTGAATTCTACATAATGTGGAAAAATATACTCTCACCCAGTCTAACTGGCTGCAATTCTCCTACTCAGCTCTGTGTACTTGAACTAATGCTGTATGAAGTTGGCTTATTCGTGAATCAAATCCCCCATCTTAGATTCATTAACATCATGCTCTGAGCTAACTGGCCTAGGCTAGGCCAGCTTTCTCTGGGAAGTTCAGATATCAATTTTAACACCAGTAAACTAATGGGAGAAAAAGAAAAAAAGAAAAAAAATCTGTGGATCTGAGATCTTGACGTCCTGTTGATGAGGTTGATGCCAATCAGCTCAAGTTGGCTCTGGCTCCTCTGAAACCAGTGTGGGCCATTTTCCTTTTCTTCTCATTTCTGTTCGTGAAAACTGCCAAGAACAGAACTTCAAAACAGTTCTATGCTCATTTTTGAGGTGAGAAATGATTCCTCATCCTCATCCGACAGGGTTTCTCGAGGAACCGCTCACCTTGGTTGCAGAGTAGATGGTCAGCAGCGGAACCGGGAACATGCCAGAGGCAGAGGAGATGTTCAGAATCACCCCTTTAGATCTGAAAAGGAAAATTTGCCGCAAACAGAATGAAATCATGTCCACAGCTGTTTGTAAATTACAGATGGAGACACAGATCTGAAATAGAATGGCCCAGCTGTTTTTCTAACACACATCTCTCCTTGCCTTTCATCAGCATGCGATGCACTTGGTCAGTGAATGAGGTATAACTCAATCAACTAAAAATAGCTCTTGTTTGCAATTAGCTCATTCCTCGATTTTAGTAATCTGGGGCATGACCGGATCAGTCCCCTCAAGTTGATCTCCACCCTCTGAGGTCTCCTCTGCCCACAGTAACCAAGAATTCTCACTTTTAGAAACACACTTATACTCCCTGCATGCTTTTATTTTGATATGTCATCACATACTACCTTGCTGTAGTATTTAATTATTTTATGTGCATACATATTTTTCTCCCTCCAAAACCGTAAGCTTTTGTACATCATAGCCCTTGTCCTCACTTTTCCTCAAAACACTCAGCATAGTCCTGAGCATTTAACCAGTCCTTAATAAAACCTTCTGGAAATGAGTGATGGTTAGGTCTTGTGCTCCTCCCTTCCCTGGGGTTGTAGATATTCAGGTCAAAATGAAGAGTTGACTCTAACATGTGATCTTATAGCTTATCAAACCATATTCTTTAGCCAAAAGGCAAAGCCCAAAAGTTTCTACTGTGACTTTTAGAGACTCCTCAAGGTTGAAAGTCAGAAAGTTATCAGGAGCTACTAATTCACAAACAAATGAAAGTTAGTTTGAGGAAAGCAATGCTTTATTCGAGTTGTTAGCAAACATCTATGGGTTAGGTGAAGTGTGGAATTCGGGTTTGGGGAATTTTAGATTTAACAACCAACTCCTCCACCTCAAGTCCATTCTCTTTGAGGCTGGTCCCCTCTCAGCTGCGGCAACCTGACTTCACCCATCGACTCTCCTCCTGGCCAGGTTCCTTTCCTTCACCCCAGTTTCTCGTTATTCTTCCTCTGAATTTATTTCCCCCAAAGCCTGTTTGTGTTTTGTTTTGTTTTGTTTTAATATTACAAAGAAGAGGGGGGCTATATAGACCCTTTTAATGCAAAATAATAAGAGAAACACGATTAAATGGCATCTACGTTATTTTAGACATAAATCTGAAATAATCCCGAAAGGTCACCCAGTCCATCTGCCAGCCTCCGGGCGAGATGCCACTTTGACCATCAAGCAGAGTCTGGATCCTCCGCTTAATGTGTCCCTGGAAACAAGTTGTTCTTTGTTTTTGTTTTCAACCAAAGTCCTTATTTGTAATATATACTTTCCTAAACGGTGAACTCCATTAACATTTTGGTCATAGAAATCAAATCTCAAATTTAAAAACAGTTAGTTGGAATTTAGTCAATGTATTCACTACATCATTTTTATATTTTTTAAAATTAAATGTCATTTTGTTTTGGTTTCAGGTGTACAGCGTAGTGTTTAGACGATCATATACTTTACAAAGTGTTCCCCGTGGTGTTTCCAGGATCTAACTGGCACCATACACAGTTATTAACAATATTATTGACCATATTTTCAGGTTTTGTATTTTTGGCTTGCGTCTGTTACAGAGACACAAAAAAGAAAAACCGTTTCTTTTTAAATTTGAAGGTAAGAGTGTGAGAGTCTCTATCCGGAGTTAGAAACCAATCACACTAAGATAAAAACCTGTGAATTAGCAATGAATATCTAGCAATTTCATTTCATCTGTATTTGTGAGAAATTCCTTTGATCAAGATGGACTTTTAAAATGGACTTTTAAAAACCACTTCTAATAGAAGATATTTAATATAGCATTAATTTATGATGCTTAAAATACCTTTATCTTTCTAGGGTGTTGAAAATATTCCGAAATTGGACTGGCTATAGCTGCACAGCTTTGTGAATATATGAGGAACCACCAAATTGCACAATTTATAAATGAGTGGATTTTATGGTATGTGAAATGTATCTTGATAAATCTGTAAATAAAAGAGAGAGAAAAAGCCCTGGCCGGTTTGGCTCAGTGGTTAGAGTGCCGGCCCTCGGACCAAAGAGTGCCGGGTTCGATTCCCGGTCAAGGGCACATACCTGGGTTGCAGGTTTGACCCAAGCCTGGTTGGGCTTGTGCCGGAGACAACCAACTGATGTGTCTGTCTCACGTCGATGGTTTTCTCTCTCTCTTCCTCCTTCCCTCCCACTCTATCTAAAAATCAATGGAAAAATATGCTTGGGTGAGGATTAAAAAAAAAAGAGGAAAAAAAGATATTTATGATATATCAGAAGATGCCACCTTTTAAGCTCAGAGCTCACCCAATGAAGTGGAAGCTACAGGAGCAATTAGTTCTCACCATAACAGGCTCCAGAGCAATGATTTCAATACAGGAAAATTCACTTAAGGATAACAAAAACATCTTTCCCATTTTCAAATATAATAGACCAGTAATCAAATATGTCGCTATTAGGCATTATGGTTCTTTAATTGTTTTACTCCTTGAGTTAACTGAGATTTTTGTTTCTCAAATACTCCCCCCTAATTAAAATTTCTAGGAGATAGAGTTAGTCTGAATTAGCAGAAAGTCAGAATTTGAGGGTACTTTATTCACAACACAATATTTCCACTCTAAAATACATTAAAACAAGCCTAAGACCCACCAAGTATAAAGCGAGAATGCACTCGGCCTAAGTAAATAAAAGCAAAGCATTTATAATGGTACTAACATGGCAGCAGAGAAAACACCCCCTTTACAAGAACTCTGTGCTACCAAGAAGCACATGGATTTGTTTGTCTAGCAAAAGCCTTCCTCCCACACACGAGACAGCACCAAATTCTCTCTCTTTCTCTCCAAGGGTAATCATATTCACCTTAGTTCTGTCTGACTCATAAATAACGCACTGGTATAGCTGCCTTAATCCTTGTACTGTATACAGGATCTATTCTTTATGCAGAGATGGGGGATGAACATTTGGGAGCTCGAGGGACAAAGGACTCGTCTTTAAAATCAACTACTTTGTTGAGCTCTAATCCTCTATCTAAGCAGAATTAGTGACGTCAAATCAGTTTCCATGGCACAGCCAGACTCACGACAACTCTGTTATATCAAGCAGAAGGACAAAATGGGCCGCGCTTAATTGCACACAGAAACAAATATAAAACCAAACCCCGGTTAATCTCTCATTGTCCGGGGACTTTGGGAACAATTCTAAGACTGAAAGGTACATTAAGAATATTTGCTGAAGTTCCATAATGAAGACTCACACTGCTTCAGTGCATTTCTACTTTGTTATGACAAATAATCCAAATAAACAAGTCAAGTAATATTTTCTGTGATACAACATTCTCAATTCATCACGCTTCTTACTTGCTAACAGCTACATGATGGTGTCTCAGTGGTGCAAATTACTGAGGATCTACTAGAACTAAAATACTGCAATAACATGGCAGAGAACACCGCTGCTGATAAGGAAGCACCTTTTCCTATGAACACGTTCTCTTCAGTTACTAGCCCTTCTGACAAGTGAAGTGTTCAACTCACCCAACCCTATAAAACTCAACACCGTGCATTTATAGTTTCCTATGGTTAGAATTCCCTTAATTCCCAATCGCAACACACTCCTTCATAGTCACCTGGGTTAAAAAAAAAAGCCAAGTCTTTATTCTTCTATACATGCCCCACTATTCCACCAGACTGCTGTAGGGACCTTGTCCACAGCTCTAGAAAAATATCACGGTCACAGAGGAAGCATAAGGTCTCCTTTGAAGTAAGTCACTGATTTCTGCCTTCCTCGGGAACCTCATCACTGCCCCACACTGCGGGGAGGAAAGGGGGCGTGAATGCTGCTGAGAAACAATAGAACACGGTCAGTCCTAATGTGGACGGCTAACTGTATACAGAGTTTGACGGCAGTCAAGGGAGATTGTAAAAAAGCCTATCACACTTTTTCATATTTCCACTTCTTATCCGGGAGTGCAAAAGGGTGCTCTTAGAGGGTCATTATTCTTATTTTTTGTAAAAATATTTTGTCACATGTTTTTACTGTTTTTAGAGAGAGAGGAAGGGAGATGGAGAGAGAGAAAGAAACATTAATATAAGAGAGATGCACTGATCGATGGCCTCCCGTTGAACCTGCAACCTGGGCATGTGCCCTGACCAGGAATGAAACTGGTGACCTTTTGGTACATAGGATGATGGTCAACCAACTGAACCACACTGGCCAGGGCCATTACTCTTATTTTGAAGCTTAAACATAATACTGAAATTGGTACAGACAGTTCTCTAACAGACTCTCAAGAAGACAGAGAAACATATCAAAACAGTTCTATGTCAGAAAAGAATCCCAGAACACAGGGGTCAGGTAGATAATTAGAACTAGCAATCCAGGAATATTGCTTTGTTGGAGAAAGTTTGCAAATATTTATCACATGAAAGAGAATTGCTTGCCCTAAAACACCATAACATGTCATAATTCCACCTTAAGCAATACAGTATGAAAGAGGCTATTTTTAGCTTTTCCATGGTTGTTATGGCAACCACTTCCTGGCTCCAGCTGTACACAATGTTTATAATTCCAGGGAAGTGGAAAGAGCAAGTTTCCTCTATAATGTAATTATGCACGTCCTACCTCTATGGTAATATAATACCTTACTTTGACGGCAGATACTTGTTTAATGATGGTCAGTTGGCCCTCGACTCTGGTTCTAGAGGGTGTGGAAAATCTCATACATCAGAGATAGAATCAGTGCAAGGGGGAAAAACAACCACAAAGGACCTTTATATAGGACTCTGCTTTTACTAAATGGAGATATGAATCATATAGTAACCAAGCATAGGAAATATGCCATTTGGGGACAAGGGAAAGGGCAGGCTACAATATAATCACTTATAATGTATAAGGCTTATCAGAGGATCTGCTAAATTGGAGCTTTTCTTTCCTCTTGGGCACACAGCCTCTGACTGAGCTCTGGACGTGGAATGTGGGCAGGGGTGGTGTGCGGCACTCCCAGGCCTGGCCCGTGAACCGCCCCATACAGTCATCCTTATTCTCTCCTTCATCTGCTGGCTGGATCCAGTGGATTCAGCAGAGAACCCTAAGACTCAAGGGAAGAACAATGGAGGCCCTCGATGGAAGGAGCCTGAGACCCTGAATAACTGGGTAGAGCAGAGCCCTGACCACTGATTCATACTGACTGTTGCAAGGGGAAAGTCAACTATTATAGTGTGAAGCCACTAGAATGGAGGTGGTCTGTTAGAGTAGTTAGCCTACCTTGACTGATACAACTAGAAACTCCTTTAACTCAAGTGAATGTAGCTGTCCCTTCTCCTAACCAAAAGAAGGAACTCATAAAATCCACTACGTTTCTTATTAGTTCTTAAGAAGTGCCACAACCATCCCATGATGTCAGTTTCAGCCCAGCCTATGGTGGCTTTCCACTAGATCATTTTTCAACCTCAGTTTAAAATCAACTTGATTTCTTAAAGGACCCAGTGCATCTTCTATATACTCTGTGATAAAATTCACTCAGCAAATGCCTGTTCAATAGATGGAGCCTTTTCTTTGCGTTCTTTGTTTTTACCTAATGTTCCATCTACAACTGTAATTAAGACTGAAAAGTCTACAGAGATAGGACCAAGTTCCTAGTACCTAGGGCATTTACTAATTATGTAGCTTTGTTAACACTCATTTGACTTAAAGTACTGAAATTCTATGACTCTTTCAATCCAATGCTTTATGATCTGCAAAGATGTCACAACCATTACTCTTCTGATTTCATTTTTAACCAGCACACTTAATGGATGGACTTCCTATTCTGGATTAATACCATATCACCTGCAGCCATCACAGTAGGATTAAGATGATGACCCAAATTTCATCCCTTCTGAGTTCTATTCTGTCTGCCCTAATTCTCTGCCATTGTCTAGGTTCTGGTCTGGATTGATCCCTGTCAGGAGGACACACTCCCATGGTGAACCAACGACTAGCAGTTTGAAGATTTTAAAGGGAAATGTGACTAAAACTAAGCTATTAAAATATACAAAACTACATATAAAATGGAATTATAAACAAAGAGTCTTGCTAAGAAGCAGTTTTTCAACCAGTCTCTGTAGATGCCAAACACAGTGAATTCCTAACCTCAGCTCCCTCATCTGTACAATGGTGGGAGACTATCAAAGTTAAATGAGTTAATACACACTGTGCTCTTGGTACAACACCTGGCACATAATATATATTCAATAAACATTAGCTGTAACCCCTGCCTGAAGCTGGTCACAGAGGTTTCTTCACAGAAGTAGGGCCCTGGGTCTTCCCTTTTCAAAGTTGTGATTCCTTTGGATATCTTCCAGACTCCAAGCTATTTTGCAGAGGAAGGATGACTGTGAAGCCCTAAATTTAGCAAATGATCAAGCTAGCTCAAGATGCAAGCCCAGCCATCACCCAGACTTTTCAAAGGGAAGAACAGGGCAGAATCACAATTTTACACTTCATGCTGTTTCAAATATAAGAACTCGACAACACATTTCTCAATAAAAATGAAGACATCCAGCATGTCCTAGTGGAACTCAATATAAAGCGGAACAATAAGGCTGGTGGACATAGTCTTTTCCTTCAAGGGTGGGTCTGACATCCCATAAATGACTTCATAGTCCAAACTCCTCCAACGTCCATGCTCCTAGTAAGAACTGGAAAACCAGAGGATGGGCCTTCCTTCATGAAACTCTACTGATTCGGACTCGGAGTGCATACCGCTTTAAAAAGGTATTCCCGGGGATATCCCAGGAACTCTATCCACCCCCTCAGAATAGCAGGCAATTGAGTTAGTGATGGTGACTCAGGCAGACTTTTTCTCCAGATCTAAAGGAACCACCGCAACCCTGGAGAGGGAAATAAAAAGGGAATCGAGTGGAAAGAGCCACCCCCACCAGATGACTCACACTTCACCCTGTGACTCACCCAGCACATTACTCTGTCACTAAGATGTGGAGGAGAGGTTCATTAGTCACTTTAGTGAATTTTTCAAAGAAAGGATTCTCCCTATAAATAATCATGAGTTCTGTCTCCCTAATGTGTGTGTGAGAGAGCTCATGACTCACCTCTCTACCATGCCAGGCAACACCAACTGTGTCATCTGCAAAAGAGAAAAACAAAACATTCGTGATGGCTGAGGGTGCAACAGAGGCAAAGTGAAGAGAACCCACCCACCTGAACAAGGGAACCTAAAGCCACTCACCACCTCTACAGACAGCAGTCTACTTTATAGTCTATATAGCCTGTGCCAAGAAAAGGAATCGGGTGAAATTACTGGAGGGAACATTGGGAATGCTTTCAGTGAACTTGGCTAACCTTACCCTTGCCTGATATGTAAGACTGGCACAGAGATCTTCAAATAATGAAGGTTTTACGGTGAAAGCCGAGTATCCCAAAAACCATTCTCAGGAAAGGACACAGGTTATCATGAGAAACAGCATGCCTATGAGATTACTTAGACTTTCTCATCTCAAGGGCTCAAAGATCTTTTCCTATCAAAAAGCCTTTTGAAGAGTGCCACGAAGTGGCATGTTGGCAGGTACTAAGGACGTCTTCACGTTCATTTCTCTTGCTGCTCTAGCCAGCTGTGAGTGAAACTCATCCTTGGAGAAAGTTGAGGTTAATCTGTGACCTCAAGTAATCAATAATGAACAAAACAATACTTGCATTATTAAAGGGCTTCATAATTGTTGGCTACACACACAGAAGATGATGACGAAGACTATCTGTAAACTCTGTGAGTGACTAAGAGAAGTGAAGAGAGGCACTGGCTTAGTCAAGGCACATCATAAAGCATGGAGGTTAAAGCATAAATTCTTGACTCCTAGATAGCACCAGTTTTCTAGAAACAAATGCTGTTTTGTCACAGAAAAGTTTGCATGCATGCTAAGCATAGGAATTTTAAGCTTTTTATCGTAAATAGTACTAGATCTCAATTAAAATAGCATTCTAGGGACTTTTCCCCCTTGAAATGTCACCCCCTACCAATGGGTTACATTTTATTCATTTATTTTTAATTAAGGTAACATTAGTTAATAACATTCTATCAGTTCCAGGTGTACACTATAATTTGATATCGTATAGATGACAGCATGCTCACCACCAAAAGTCTCGTGTCCATCTATCACCATATACTTGACCCCCTTTACCCATTTCGCCCTCCCCTACCCCCTTGTCTTTGGGTGACCACCAAATGTTGTCTGTGTCTATGAGTTTGTAGTTTGTTTTTGCTTTGTTTGTTTCCTTTTTGTTTTATACTCTACATATGGGTGAAATCATATAGGTTTTGTCCTTTTCCATCTGACTTACTTCACTTAGCATAACCATCTCAAGATTCATACATGGTGTTGCAAATGGCAATATTCAGAGTGGCTATTATCAAAAAGACAAGAAATAACAAGTGCTGGCAAGGATGTGCAGAAAAGGGAACCCTCATACACTGTAGGTAGGATTGCAAATTGGTGCAGCAACTATGGAAAACAGTAAGGAGGCTCCTCAAAAAATTAAGAATAGAGTTACCATATGATCAAGTAAGTCCTCTTTTGGGTATTTACCCAAAGGATATTTAAAAAGCCACATGAACTCCTATGCTCATTGCAGCATTACTTACAATAGCCAAGATATGAAAACAACCTAAGTATTCGTCGACAGATGAATGGATAAAAAAGATATGGTATATACATAAACAATAAAATTCTCAGCTAGAAATATTTTAAAGAAAGAAAATGCATCCAAACTTTACCAAGATAAAATCTGCTATGCAGTACCCCAAACCCAGTTGTCAACCTTGAAACGGTTGCATGTATTTTTCTAGTAAGAACCTGGATTCCAACCATCATAAAAGAGAGGCAGACACACTGCCAACTTCAAAACAGTCAAAGAAGTGTCTTCAAAGCCTAGGGGAATTATTTTAACAGAAGTATCAGGATTTGGTCAAATCTTCTGGCCCAGATGAAAAAGCAGACACCATAAGGAGTCTGGTCTAAAGCATTCTGTATCTCCCTCCTTCTTACATATAAATCTATGCTTTTCATAGTAACCCCATCTTCACAGAATGAATGGACAGAGACTGCCCATTGTCCTCCAACATTCATTCATTCCACATGGGTGGAAATACATAATAATTGAATTTTCAGTTGGATCTATGGCCTCTTTCCCTCCCTCACTGCAGCCCCCCCATAAAACCATATTTCCTCTACTTCTCTCACATCATGTGGTCCTATGACTGCGTTCTAAAGATGTGAAAATAAGCAAGTAATACATGCAACTTCTTGGTCATGCCCTTAAAGGAGAAAAAAATGTATATCCTTCCTCCTCTCTGCCTCTTCCTCCTCCCCATGGCTAGATGCAGAGGTGCCGAGAGGAGCGACAGCAGCCAAGAAGAAAGCCACGTGCTACGCAGAGCAATGAGATAAAAAGCGGCGGGATCCCCGATGACTGTGAAGCTGCAATGCCAAAAACCTTGATTACCTACAGCTCTTTATCTGAGAAATACATTTCTATTTTAAGTCATTCCTAGGTCTCTGTTAGAGCAGCCCAACCAATTCTAATATAATTTACCACTTGCATTACTAAAAACCAACCAATATTAATATTTTAAGACTTAACAATCCCCAAAGCAAACTCGATCAGAAATTATGCTGACAGCCCAAATGGCCTCACTATTTTATAGTTTTTAAGACACAATTCCATTTCTTTTCTTTTCTGAGTTTGCTTGACCCAATTCAGAATGCGCCCCCTGGGCCTGAAACTAAACTCTATGAAACCAAGTCAAAGAAAAAGCTGATTTCAGAGTTTATCCTTTCATTACAAACACAGTCACCTCTTTTCTTCTCAGATTAAATAACTCTTCAAATTAAATAATAACTCTTACATGTTTCCTAAGATTTGTCTTTTATAGAAATTGTTCAATAATTAGCCATTTAATTGAGCATTTAAGGCAAGTGTGGTAAGCAGTCAGGCCAAGTTCTAATCCTGGCTTTTCCGGGTATGACCCGGAGCTGGTCCCTACTCCTCCTCTGCAGAGTCCTTCTGCGTTAAATGAAGGAGTGTCTACATTACATGTTATCACTCTCGCCCTCTAAAATAAGGTGATGCATATAACGGACCCAGCATACAGCCCCTCCCAGAGCAAGTCCCTGGAAGGGATTCGGTGCCCCTTATTGCCAGCACACACTCCTCTTAGGATGCGGCACCAATGAGTATCCAGGCCTCCTTTAAGCATGTTGTGCCCTACACAGTTTACAGAGAAAAACAATGACACATTTTGAGGGAATCCAGTTCAACTCCCCACACAGAAGTTTCTGGACAGTTCCATCAGTGTGTTTAAATACCTCAGTTGGGATCTTCTTGGGGTAATAGAATTGTTCTATAATTGAATTCTAGCAATGATTGCACAACTCTGTAAATTTACTCAAAGCCATTAAAATGTACACTTAAAATAAGTGAATTTTATGGTACATAAGTTATTTCTCAACACTGTTTTTTGAAAAAAATCTCAATGATCATATGTACAAGAATTAAAGAACTGGATTCACAAAATACATTTGATGTTACTCTATCAAACATGGAGATAAAAGAGCTCTAGAAATGCTGTGAATATTGCCCTGGCCGGTTTGGCTCAGCGGTTAGAGCGTCGGCCTGCGGTACAGAGAGACCCGGGTTCGGTTACCCCTAAGGGCACGTACCTCGGTTGTGGTTTGTCCCCGGCCCTGGTTGGGTTGTGCGGGTGGCAGCCACTCGATGTGTCCCTTTCATATCGATGTTTCTCTCTCTTCCTCTCTCTCCCTCCCACTCTATCTGAACAAAAAATGGAAAAAATGTCCTTGGGTGAGGATAAAAAAAAATGCTGTGAATATTGACTTCTGGCCTAGAGCAACATGAAGTGATAAAGAGGCATTCTTCTGTCCTAGTGGAGGCCATGCTGTACTTGAACCCGAGCCTGGTGAGGAGAATGCACTGACCATCCAGCAGGAGAATAGCTGTCGCTATAAATATATCATCACATGACAGTGCTATGAGTGAACCACAGAGGTAAGGTCAGAGGGCACCAACGCTCAGGAGGACAAGTTATAGCTAGGGAACCACGTAGAGCTTCACAGATTACATTTAAAAGACTAAACTGGCATTCACTGGGCAGAAAAAATTTCTAATAGAAGGAATAGAATGCAAAAATGCAAACAGCCACAAGAAACCACAATGTATCCTATAGAATTGATGCATTTTCAAAAACCTTTTTGTTGAATGAATGAAACAAAAGTATGTGCATCCTAAAATATGTCATACAATTTCCATATCATACTACATCATGGACAGCTTCCCGTACTAGTTCAAACAGATGTCCATCAGGCATGTTAACAGTTGTGGAGTATTTTATTGCAAGGATAGATTACATGCATTCTTAGCAGTATCTAGAAACATTTTTTATTTAGCACATTTCATCAGGGGACCACAATGCTTAGCTAATGTATTATAATGAGGTCCCTCAGTATTTGTGAAGAGAAGCTATTATTCAGTTCCCCAAAGTCCTGAGATCACCAAAAACAGAATGAAAAAGGACAAGACTGATAATAAAAATGTTCTCACCAGGGATAGGTGTGTGTGTGTGTAATACAGAAATGAGACATTACATGCATTGCAGCTAAGTAGATCCACAAGGCTGGCCGTTGAGGGTGTAGCTCCCACACACAAGAAGAGAAGGGATCGGCTTCGTAGGTAGCTATCAATCTGGAGAACTACCAGGTAAGTCTACATCATCTGCTGATGGATTCATTTATTCTGACCAGGGATCTCAGTACCATAAGAATATTTAGTGAGTGGTTATACAGAGTTTTAAAGTTCAATTCAGATTTTTTTTCCAAGACATCAATTTATACATTTAAATACAGTACAATAAGAAAGATTACTTTAGCCTGGGATATTGAGGCAATACTTAATGCATACATTGGAAGCTACATTTTTCTTTACACTGTGTGTATGCCATATATTAAATGTCTCCTTTCAGATTGGCAAAATTTACCCAGAAAAAGATCAGACAAAATAAAACCCCACAAGATATAATCTCACAAAATTACATCAACAGCTTGCTAAATACTAAATATG